CGATACACCTCCTCAGACAGATGTCTAGACATACCCAAGAAAAATTCATGATTCTCTCCTCTGGGCTCAAACAGCACTTTCTCCATTCTTCTATTATAGAACACAGCTCATATAATTATTGGTCTACCCGTGTCTCTTTCTCTCACTAGATTAATCAGTTCTGAAGAACAGAGATCAGGTTTTTGTCGATCTTTATATCTCTTATGACTACTCTAGTGCCTTGAACATAAAAATCACGGACATTTATTACCCAGGTCACATACTTGCCATCTCTTGAAACCCTTTCACCCACTTATTGTGCCTCTGTGCATCTACCATGCCTCCCTTCCTCTTCCTATGAAATAATTACCTGTTTCCAGCTAATGCTACCCACTTATCTGCACGTAAGATTCAATCCCCTCTTACCTACTCATTGACATCACTCCTTGAATTTTCTCCTTATCCAGTACCATTTTTTCCTCTCTATTGAGTCATTCCTATTATCATAAAAACATGCTGTCATTTTCACATTATAGTCATGTGCCACATAATGATGTTTTGGTCAATAACATTTACAACATTTATGACAGTTGTCCCATAAGATTATAATGGAGTTGAAAAATTCCTATTGCCTAGTGATGTTGTAGCTGTCATACACAACACATTACTCATGCGGACTATACCATACAGCCTAAGTGTATAGTAGCTATAGCACATAGGTTTGTGCAACTACACTCTATGATGTTTGAGCAATGATGAAATCACCTAATGATGCATTTCTCAGAATGTATCCTCATTATTAAGTGAAGCATGACTGTATTTAAAAACTTACATGTCCTGACCTAATTTATCCATCTAGACACTTTTCTGCCTTTTATAGGAAAACTCCTTCAAAGATGAACTATGCTCATTACTGTAACTTACTTTCTCTTCCCATTCTGACCTGAACCCACTTCAATAAGGCTTTTTGCCCCCAATATTTCATGGAATGTGCACTTAAAAAGGTCAACAGTGAATTCAATTTTGCTAAATTCAATGGTTAATTTCAGTCCTTAGCTTACTTGATTAGCAGAGCATCTGACTTAGTTGATCACTCTCTACTCATCTTTGAAACTCTTTCTAGAAACTTTGGCTTCCATATCCTGCTGAATTTCTTCCTTGTTTTCAGTTACTTCTCAATTTCTTTTGCTGTTTTCTCCTTCTCTCCTTAACCTCTATATACCAGAGCAGCCCTAGTTTTAGGGATTGGGTTACGTTTTCTATCCATGTTCATTCCCTTGGTGAGCTCATTAATTCCATGGCTTCAAATACCATCTATATGCTGATGACTTACGTCTCCAGCTAAGACATTCCCTGAAAATCTAGATTCACATACTCAAATACCTACGTGTCATCTCCAATTGAATGTCTCATAGGTTTCTAAAATTTAACACGTCTAAAATTGATCTGTCGATTTCTTTAAAATTGATCACCCTTCAGCTAAACAAACAAACAAACAAACAAACAAACAAACAAACAAACAAACAAACAAACAACCTGCCTGCCCCTCTCACAGTCTTCCCATTGGAAGTTATGGCAATTCCATTCTGCTGCTGCTCAAGCAAAAAGTGTTGAGTCATAGTTGATTCCTTTCTTTCTCTCCCATTCTACATCTGATCTATCCCAAAGACTGTCTGTTCTGCTTTGAAACTTGAATTCTAATCTGCCTGCTTTGCACATCTCCAGTGCTAATAGTTTAGTCTTATGAGTCACCACTTTTAAGACAGCCTCCTATCTGGCACTTATGCCCCTGGCCCCCTTGCTCCCAAGTATTCTGAATACAAAAGAGTGGTCCCATTGAAAGGTAAGTCAGACCAAAGCACCCCATGCATGTGGCCTTATAGAGACCAAGAGGCTTGATAACCAAAAGAATCTGCTCTGACCCGGTCAGCTAAATTATGGTGCCTTGGGAGATCTGAGATAAGTCGGTAATCATGTCTACCTGTCCTGGAAAATGTTATCATAGACCATTTTTCCTAGAAGCACACTTAGTGGAGCCAGAAATCTATAAAATAACCTAGAATACTTCTTTTTTTTTTTTTTTCCCCTTTTTTCGTGACCGGCAACGGATAGCAACCCTCAGTGTCGCGCCCGTACCGGACCGGGACGGCAACGGGATCGCAACCCTCGGTGTTGCCCCTGCACCTTGCTCAGCCAGTGAGCGGCCGGTCTTTATGTGGGATCCGAACCCTCTGCGGGAGCACCACCACGCTCCCAAGCAGCGCACTGTAGCAGTGCACCACCAGGCCGGCCCCTAGAATACTTCTTATTGTGCTTACTGTAGGTCCTTTCATGTAGGATGTAACCTAGTAACAATCCCAAATCTATATGTTATGTACTAGCCTGATGGGGTATATAGGCAGGGCTGTCTCTCTCTCTCTCTCTCCTTTGACCCTTCCTGTTTCTTACAATTATAAAATGTTAAGTTCTGCTGGCCCTCTTTGGAATACATTTTTAGTGCTACCTGATTATGTGTCTCCTTGGTTGCAATCATCATATTGGTTCAATAAATCATTGCTATAAGTATTTGTCTCAGTTTCTTTTTAGGTCAACAGGCTACATGATGTAGCTCACCATCATCAGCCTGACTTCATCCCTACCATTCCTTCTTTACTCCAGCCACTCTCGATCCCTCCTTGCAGTTCCTCAATACACCAGGAACACTCCTGCACTGGCTGTCTGGAATGCTTTTTCAATATCTACGTGATTCAATCCCTCATCTCCTTTCCATCTTTACTCAGATGTCACCTTCTCAGTGAGTTCTTCCTTGATGACCATTTCCAAAATCACAACACTCCAACATTTCCTATCTCCTTTTCATATTTTATTTTTCTCCTTGGCCTTTGTAACTACCTACAATTCTGTAAATTTTCCTTGTTTAATTATCTCTTGTAATAGAATACAAATTCCATGAGGATAGAAATCTTTATTGGTTTAATTTACTTCTGAATTCCAAGTGTCCAACAATGCTTAGAAAATAGTAAATACCTAATAAGTATCTAAATGAATAAATAATAAATAAATAAATGAATAACCAAGCATATTGGGAGGGGGGAAGCAGATAGAACTTTTGAAAATAAAAAATAAAATTATTAAAATTAAACACTTAACAGCTAGATAAAGAGGAAATTATTTTTGAGAGAACAACATAATATCAACAAAAGAGACATACTTCATGGTTCATCTTAGGAGGCATCAGTTTGATAACCAAACCAGCAATGATGGTAACAAAAATCATAGATCACTTTTGCTTATGAAAACAGATATAAAACTGTAAATAACATATTATCAAACAAAATCTAGGAATGTATTAAAATAATATATCACAGCCAGTACATATAGTATAATTCTGTTTACATATATTTCACAATTAGAGAATACCACACCAAGACAAGTATCCTTCATTATCCAAATCTACTTGGTATCTGTTACGGACTGAATGTTTGTGTCTCTTCAAAATTCATTAAGTCGAAGTTTAATCACCAACGTGGTAGTATTTGGCAGCAGGGTCTTGGGGAGGTAATTTATGAATGGAATTACCCTCATGAATGGAATTAGTGTCCTTATAAGAGGAGGCTAGAGAGCTAGCTAGCTCTTTTTCCACCATGTGAGGATTTAATGAGAAACTGGCAGTCTGCCAACCCAGAAGAGAGCCCTCACCAGAACCCAACCATGATGGCAACCTGATCTTGGACTTCCCAGCCTCCAGAACTGTGAGAAATAAATTTCTGTTGTTTATAAACCACCTAGCCTATGGTACTTTGTTATAGTAGCCTGAGCTCACTAAGACAGTACCTGAGTTCAAACATTACAGTCTGGATAATGGGTTGGGATACTTATGGGTACTTCAACTGAGTCTATTTACTTTTTAGGTTAACATATAGTAACATTGGCTTTTTAAAAATAGGTGTATAGTAGAAACTGAGTTTTTGAATTTTATGAAGCAAATAGCCAGATTATGAAAATGAGAGAATCATCTAAAATTTTATCTTAATTTATTTGATTAGTTGCTTGGATAGCAAGGGATATGTATCTATATAGTACCACTACGAAGAAAAGCAATGCATTGATAAACATAAAAGTAGGTAGTAGCTAGGGAGGTGGACGCAATCCAGTTGGTACACAAGGGGACTCTAAGATACTGATAATATTTATAAGGCAAGATATTGAGTACATGTGATGTGTTTTATTCTTTAAACTATACTCATGTGTTTAATATATTTCATAATTAAAAATTTTGAGCATACAAAATATGTAAAAAAGAAATACAGAAAAATGTTTTTTTTGTTTGTTTGTTTTGTTTTTTTTTCCTTTTTGCCTTTTTTTGTGTCCGGCAACGGATCGCAACCCTCAGTGTCGCGCCCGGACCGGACCGGGACCGGCAACGGGATCGCAACCCTCGGTGCTGCGCCCGCCCATCGCTCAGCCAGTGAGCGGGAACCAGTCTGTATGTGGGATCCGAACCCTCGGCGGGAGCGCCGCTGCGCTCCCAAGTGGCGCACTGTAGCAGTGCACCACCGGGCCGGCCCCAGAAAAATGTTTTAAAACTATTCTTTTAGGAGTTCAAGTACAATGAGTTAAAAAACTTAAAAGTATTCCATAGAATTTGAACATAAGATTTTCTTAAAACTTAAAGCTTTCATTAAAACCTGTTTAAACTTAATTTCTTTAATATTTATGTGCTTGTGTATATCCCATAGGCCAAATTGTTAATGGGTCAGTTTATTAATGGGTTTATCTTCAGAGTCCTCAACCAATGCATGCTTGAAGGGCTGGTCACGGTAAAATCATTCTTAATAATTGTCAAAGAGGAGCTTCTTCCTAGAAATGAAGAACAGCATGGGACTTGATCTAAGAAACACACTGAACATTTCATTTTTACTATTCACAGATTCTTAGAAATCCCCAGGTCACCATATAGACTACCCAATTCTTGGATAGCTGATTCTGGTTTCACCAGCACCTTGTGAGAAGAATATTACCTGTGACAACACTGGGGATTTTGGAAAGAAAGCTCTTGACTGTTCTGATGGGCACACCTCCTGTCTTGTCATCTTGCATCTTTGTAATGATGTCTTCAATCTGAAAGAGGTTAAAGAATAGAAGTGTTATTTTCTTGCACAAAGTAATAGTAAATGGTACTTTTATAAATGGACCAAATAGGTAAACATGGATGTCAACAACAGATATCAGAAAAAGCTCCCACCTGTTCGGTCAATAAACATAGTGTCAGTATCTGCTGTGAACCAATTGCTAGGTGTGAAGAGGTCAGAGCGTGATATAAAAGAGCGTAAGGCATGTTCTATAGGAACAACTCCCAGTTCAACAAGGTAAAGAGGGAGAAACACATTAGGATTCTTGATGGGATCCAATATGTAATTCAATATGTATGTGATAAAATTCTTCCACTTTCCCAAATTGAATTTATATGTAGGTTGAACCACAGGAAACTGCCATATTCCACACCCCCAAATGTCAGCTTCCTATGGTTCAACCAGCTATGTTAACATATATTAATAGAATGCTATTAAGAAGTGCAGGCAGTCTGCCTTTGGGTCCAGAGGACACAGCTAGAGTCACATGAGAGAAAAACAAAACTGTAAATCAAGACATGGAAAGCCCTGATCTGCAGAAGTTAGAAAACTGGTCGAAGTGCTTGTGAGTGGTGGTGTGAGGACGGTCACCTTAAGCCAGGAGTAAGGTGGTCGAGGACAGGATCCTCTCTGTTTGGAATAAGGAAGACCACACTATCAGGAGAAAGATCATTGTGGGCTGTGGCCCGGAGCCAGGTGACATCTTATTGGTGGAAACAGAACAGAGAGCAGAGATGGACTAATGAGGATGTATGTGTCTAAACTGGGAAACAATTTATAGCTAAGAATTTATAAGCCAGATATAATTTCCTGAGCAGAAATCTTCAGAATAGGATACAGAAAAACCTGTAACACGGACGTAGATCTTTTTGTTTGGAGAGGGCAGAGCAAATGAAGGAGGAGAGAAAATAATATTTGGTATTATCACATATTTTGTTCTTCTAACCAATAGAAATATGAAGGGACTTCAAAAAGTTAATGGAAAAATAGAATGAAAAGATAATGCAAATCTTTCCACGAACTTTTTGAAGTACCCCCATGTCTTTGAAACACCAGGATGGATTCTTGGAATGATTCCTTAATAGTCACACAGTCTTAAGGCTAGAAATTTAAGCGGTAGCTCATCTGGTCCAACATACTATTATTGCAATTTCAGCTTAAGTGATTTTCTCAAAGATACATGACTAATAGCTTGTTTGATAGAAATAGATAACTTGTTAGAGACAAACAAGTTAGGACATGACAAAACATCATCACCATCAATATCATCATAAACAATCATCAAAATATATTAAGAATTTATTACATGCTAGACACTATTCTAAGTAGTATACACACATTATCTTGTTTAGTACTCATAATTACTTCATAAAATAAATTCCACTCTATCCTCATAGGTAGAGTGGGTTAAGCTGTGGTAGCAAATAACCCAAAAAATGTCAGTGGCTTAACACAACCAAGTTTATTTCTCTGTCATGCCTTTGTCTATTGCAGGTCAGCAGTGGGACTCTGCTCATGGTGGTTACTCTGGGGCCTGGGCTGCTGGAGCAGCTGCCGTCTTGAATGTTGCTGGTCACTGTGCTAGAGGGACGAGAAGGAATTCTGGAGAGTCTCTCACTGGGTATTAAATGGTATAGCCCAGAAATTACATATAACATATTTACTTGGCTGACAATTCTTTGGCCATAACTAGTCACAAGGCATCACCCAACCACAAATCACTGGGGGCTTAGTCCTCTGGGTGCCAGGATGAGAGAGGAACTGAGTATCTGTGATCAAATCAGTGACAATGGCAGGGGTTAAGCAACTTTCACAACATTCACAAGGGCACACAGCCAGCCAGGTGTGAAGCCAAGTTTGAACACAGCTGCAGACTCCAGAGCTTGGGCTTCTAACGCCTAAACTACTCTGCCTCCTAGTAAGGTTCCCAGAAAACGAGCCAAGCAGTGAAACCATTTTCCCTTGCATATTTCTGGGTTTCCACGAGAAGTACAGATGGTGACAAAGAATCCAAAGGTCCCAGCTCCTCAGGCGGTAGATGTGTGTATCATGCTAGGAAAAGGGTCATTCTCTGAAGATCTGCATTTCACCCACATTCATTTTAACAGTGTCAGCTACTGCCCACCTTCTGTCTCCTAAACTCAACTCAACAATTTAGAGTCGTTTGAGTATTACCTATCGATAGCTAAGGAGAGCTATTCTTAGAAAAAATGGCCACATTTTCAAAGTAATCTATGTTTCTGATTTAGTGGGCTACTGCCCACCTTCTGTCTCCTAAACTCAACTCAACAATTTAGAGTCGTTTGAGTATTACTTATCGATAGCTAAGGAGAGCTATTCTTAGAAAAAATGGCCACATTTTCAAAGTAATCTATGTTTCTGATTTAGTGGTATTATTTGAAGCCAGAAGTATCAGTTACATTGATGGTTTCTATGAAATGGCCAGAAATCATTGAGAATTAGAGAAAAACCAGTAATTCAATTCAGTTTGATCCCTGAGTAGGCATTAGATGAATTCAGTCTCTGCTGCTGCGAGCTGGATTTGAAGGACTGGCTGCACAGAGGGATTCTCCATGACTCCTTTCTCGTGGCTCAGTTTAGCTGCTTCATCACACTGTGAATCTTAAAAGGGCTCATTAGCTAAAGAGGAAGTCCCATCTTTTATGTCAGACCACCAGGTACTGAGAGGTATATTCCTCATGAGGGGTTACAGCTGCATCAAAAGGACAGTCTCTTCAACTGACCAGAAAGGGGAGTACATTCCAGCAATAGTTTACAACATCACAGGTGTGAAAGGATAAATTATTGGCCCCCAATTCCTGACCCCTCCACAGTAGTAATACACACCTGAATCCTTGCCCAGGCCTCGTGGTGGGCAGAGAGTCTACCCCTTGAATTCTGGGCTCGGCCATATGACTTGCCTGCTGCTGGCATGTTACTGCATGCAGTGTGAGCAGGCTTACGCTGTGCCTGCATGGCTGTGCTTCCCATCTTCTCTTGCCCTCTTGCCTTTGGCCGTGAGAAGAACAGGCCTTAGACAGATGCTACTCCAAGGAAGATGAGAGACACCTGGACAAATGGGACTGAACCCATAGCTAAATCAGCCAAACCTCGGCTGACCTGCAGACTCATGAGCAAGAAGTAAATGATTGTTGCTGTATGTCACTAGGGCAGTTTGTTCTACAGCAAAATTATGACATAACAGGGCTCTGAAAAAATGAGCTTATCAAAAATTGCGGAAGCCACACCAATATTTGATGATCAAAATTAATGAATCCTAGAATTGGGGTATCTTAGAATCCAACCCTTTTTAAGAATGCAGAAATTCAATTTATACTATCTACCATCTCCTTAAAAACTCTGGGCCAGCCCGGTGGCGCACTGCTACAGTGCGCCACTTGAGAGCGCGGCGGCGCTCCCGCCAAGGGTTCGGATCCCACATACAGACCGGCCGCTCACTGGCTGAGCGAGGTGCGGGCGCAACACCGAGGGTTGCGATCCCGTTGCCGGTCCCGGTCCGGTACGGGTGTGACACTGAGGGTTGCAATCCGTTGCCGGTCACGAAAAAAGACAAAAAGGAAAAAAAAAAAAAAAAAAAAAGCTCTTAGAGATTACAGTTCCAGGTAGCCCATTCCATTGCTGTGTCAGACAAACTTTGACAGCTGTGTTTGATTCTGGAGAACAATCCACTATAATATCAGCTAAAAACACTCTCTCTGAAATTCCTTGTCATGGTTTCTGGAGAATTCCCAAGAATGCAGACCCAATAAAAATTACGAGTGGGCTCCCATAAGCTTATAAAAATAATGACAAGTATTTTCAGAACATCTTTTTTTATGATCAATAGTGTCCTAGATATTTTAAATAAATTATCTGATTTATTCCTCAGTCTTAAAAGTTATTTAATAAGCATGTTGCAATTGAGGCTCAGAAAGGTTAAGTGATTTATCCAAGGTCACACAGCTGGTAAGTGGCAAAGTCAGGATTCCTAAGCAACTCTTCCTCACTCCAATGTACAAGCTCTGTTTATCAATAGAAAGCTCATCTGCTCACTGTCTCTCAGATCTCTTTCTCTGAGTTGTGTGACTATTAGGTTTAGCAATGAGGGCAGATCCTGGAAGGTAATTATCAGAAGTACGAACCCAGTGAGTGGCCCAGAGACTGGCTGATACCTAAGAATCTTACTTCTCCCAGCGCCATATGCCAAGGTTAGTGCTTTGTTTGCTGTGGATCCCAGGGCACTTTCCAGCAGAGCCTGGGGTTGGCACCTTACACTATAGAACCCATTAAATCTTGAGCTGAACACAGTACTCAAAGAAAGCTTTTAGTCGAAGTGCCACCTGGTAGACTCCAATCTTTGTTAACTTTTCCACCTTTAGTATTTTCAATTCATTTCTTCCTTGCTGGACAATAAGTATAATTTATTTTACCTTTAAAAAAGGTCAACTTGGGCTGGCCCGTGGCTCACTCGGGAGAGTGCGGTGCTGATAACACCAAGGCCACAGGTTTGGATCCTATATAGGGATGGCTGGTTTGCTCACTGGGTGAGTGTGGTGCTGACAATACCAAGTCAAGGGTTAAGATCCCCTTACCGGTCATCTTTTATAGAAAAAAATAAAAATAAAAATAAAAAAGGTCAACTCTTTGCCTCTAGAGCCTCAGTAGTTAATTACAAGTATGGAGCAGAAGCATATATGAGTATATACGAGGATACTTCAAAAAAGGTCATGGAAAAACAGAATTAAAAGATATTTGAATCTTTCCATGAGCATTTTGAAGACCCCTTGTACAACCTCTCATCTCCTACCTTAGATTCAAATCCTTTTGCAGACAGGGACTGCACCTGGAGTTTCATTTCCATTTTCTTAGGCAACACTTATGGAGTATTTACTCCAGGCTAGACACTGTTCTAAGAGCTTTACCTCTATATACTCATTTAATTCTCACAGGAGATAGACTATTGTTCCCTCATTTACAGACAAG